TACAGGTGCTACAAAAATGTTTCACAATTTAAGACGTCAGTATTGGTGGAACGGGATAAAGAAAGATATTACACAGTTTGTGGCTAAGTGTCTTGCCTGTCAATAGATGAAAGATGAGCATCAGAGACTAGCCCGTTTGTTACAACTATTGCCTGTGGCACAGTGGAAATGGGAGCAAATTGCTATTGATTTTGTACCTTAGTACGGCATTCCATCTACAGACTGACGGCCAGTCGAAACGTACCATCCAGATTTTGGAGGATATGCTTTGGGCATGTGTGCTCGATTTGGGAAGTAGGTGGGAGGATCACCTTCCACTTATTGAGTTTGCCTACAACAACAGTTATCAGGAGAGCATTGAGATGGATCCATTTGAGGCATTGTATGTCAAACCTCGTAAGTCTCCAGTCTATTGGACTGAGGTAGGCAAGATGATCGCCTTAGGACCTGACATAGTACTTAAGACTATTGAGAAGATTAAGCTGATCAGGCAGAGATTGCTTACAGCTCATAGCCGACAGAAGAGCTATACGGATAGGCATAGACGACCGCTATCTTTTGAGGTGGGAGACCACGTTTTCCTACGGGTTTCTCCACAGAAGAGATTGATGAGATTAGGGAAAAGTGGCAAGTTGTCGCCATGATTCATTGGACCATTTGAGATCTTGGACCGTGTAGGAGAGGTTGCCTACAGACTTACTTTGTCGCCACAGATGGACAGAGTTTATAATTTTTTCATGTCTCGATGCTACGGAAGTATGAACCAGATCCATCTCACATTTTGGATTGGTTGGTATGGGTATTGATAAGGGTGTCTCCTATGAAGAGGGACCAATTTAGATCCTTGACACACGGCAGAACGTGTTAAGGGACAAGACAATACTGCTAGTGAAAGTTCTTTAGAGATTCATGGGAGTCGAGGAGGCTACTTGGGAGCTTGAACAGGAGATTCATTCTAAGTACCCGGCATTGTTTTCTTCCTCAGGTATGACTCAATTTCGGGGACGAAATCCTTTTAAGTTGGGGAGATTGTGATGTTTCCGTTTTTCACCATTTTCTTTTTCCCAGAATTTTGTCGTTGCAAAGGCATTTTCGTCTTTTATTGTTTTATGTACCGAACACTACGAAGTGTGCTAGTTGTGTCCGAGGGACTGTTTGAGACATTTCTCTGAGTCCAGTACTCTTTGAAATGCAAGGGTGACCATTTTCGCATTTTTCTATTTTACGGGCCGAACGGTCCCATGTGGGACCCGCTACCAGAATTTTTGCATCCGAGGATTTTTGTTGGATTCATTTGCATCATAATTATTTTATTTAATGTGTTTTAAGTGATTGTGAATTAAATGTGTATATATATATGTGTGTGGTGTAAAAAGAAAAGAAAAATAAAGGGAAAAAGAAATCATTTTTTTGGTGGGGCCCACTACCACTTTAAGTGGTCATGAGACCACATTTTGGTCTCTATTCTCTCATCCTCTCCTGCTGGTCTCTCTCTTCCTCTCAAACTTCCATTTTTCTTTTTCTTTCACTTCAAGGCTTTAAGCCTTGATTTTTCCCTCATTTCTTGGTATTTTTTTTGTGCCGTTTGCGGCAAATTGAACCTCACGGCGAGATCTACAAGTTGATCAGAGCAATTTCTTGGTTGGTGCACTCAAGGAAATTCAAAATTTAGGGCACAATTTGGGGGTTTTTGCAATTCTTGAGGTAGTAAGGGTTTTTAATTCCCAATTTCTTGTTCCTTGGTGATTTTTCTTTCAATATTTGTTATCAAGTATGCTCTATTTGAATTGATTGCCATGAAAATGATATAATTGTTGTATGTGAAATCTATGCTTATATGTGTTGATGAAATTATGTGAAAATCATGCTTAAGTGTTAAGTTCCATGCCTAAATGTTAATCTTCAGGCCTAGTGTTTATTATCTTAATAGAAATGACTATGAGGATGCATGCTAAATTATGTTGTAGAAATTTCTTTATTTCATTGTAAATGGCAAAGCTTGTGACATACATTCAAAACATTGGGCATGAAAAATGGCAAAGTTATTTCAAATGAAATAGAAAGGGGTTTTTAGGGAGATTTTGGATAAAATGGTTTTGAGAAAACCAGGTCGCCGCGGAGTCACCAAAAGGCCGGTGTGTTAATGTAACTTAGAGAGAACTAGGGGAAACACCCTAGCGTGGTTGAGCTATCTGAGTCCCAAATGACGCCGCGGGGGTACCAAGGGTCAGGGACAGTAGCCAACCTTTCTCTCGTGTCGCTACGGAGTCACCAAAGGATGGGTTATATTAACAGTTTGTAAAACAATGAATGTTTTTGAAAATGGGGAGTGACATACATGGCATTACATTCACGGCACGACATTTGCTTGATTTGAACTTGGAATTGATGTTGTATTCTTTCCCGGTTTGCTTGATCCTGTTCCCTATCGTCCTATTCATTGTTTGGATTCACGGGGCCACAAGAGGTGTGTCTTAGGCACCACCTACTAAGCAAATTGCTCACCCCATTATTTAACATTTTTTAGGGCCGAGAAAGGAAGTAGTGGACGCCGACCCTTCACAAGCTTGTAGAAGATTAGGTGTTTACTCTTGTTACCTTTTGTATTTAGCCAATTCTTTTGTAAAGTTTTTACCTATGAAATGTAATTGTCTAGTAATGTGACTATAATCTTTTGGCACACTTAATGTATATTTGGAATTATGGGAACTTGTGGAGGTGAATGGGCATTGGAGTTATGTTTATGATTAATTATTGACGCTTTTTTAATGTATAATACCATATTTTGTTGCCGTGAATACGGAATTCAACTGCATAACAAGTTCGGTATAGATTGTGCATGCACAAAGTACTGTCATAATGCTTTTCCAAGTGAGTTTAAGGTTCAGGGGCCTTGTTTTGGCCGGCTGACCCTTACCATCAGCCGACCGAAACCCCAGGTTCGGCTGACCCTTACCATCAGCCGACTGATGCTTGCACTGTAGCAGTCCCGAGAGCATGTTGTTTTCAGAATCGTTTCAGCCGGCCGACCTTGTAGGTTAGCTGACTGGACCTGCCCTGTCAGCCAGCAAATGAAGAGCCATCAGCGGACTGATCATTCCTTTTTGACCTATATCTACTGACCTTCTTTGTAAAGTTATATCTTGGGCTATCTTAAATCCCTGGATAGACTCGTATGATAGGTGTGGACTCAGGAAAACGGTGGTATGACCTAGTTGACCTCGGGTTCGGGTAAGAACCCGGTTAACGATTCGGACCCATGAGTTCGGGACGTTACAAATATGCATCAAATAATGATATATGAATGTAATTACCCCATAAAATAATCCCGTGCATGACCAATCTGATTACATGTCCCACCTGGAACATCCCGGCCTGAAAAACAGAAAAATGCCAAAATGGCAACGAATGCATTTCCAAGAGTCCTGAATTTAAGGAAATGCTCCAACCAACACTCTGAACACATCTGGCACACCCCACTGTGTTCGGCACGCAAAACAAGGAAAGACCAAAATACCCTCGAAAAAATTCAGAAAATTCCAAAAAATGAAAAATGGTAAAAATCGAAAATATTACACGTCCCTTCCTAAAATTCTGAACTACATATATATTATCCATATACGTATCCATCACTATAGATCTATATATGTATATGCACGTTCCTTTCAGTTTTGGTAACTCCTTCTTCAGTTTCGGTAACTCCTTCTTCAGTTGAACTTTCCTCTTAGCACGTCTCCATAGCACCAAGTATCCCACAATCCAACAAGTCCCTATGGCATACATGAATTACACATCATATATATATATATATATATATATATATATATATACACACACACATGTGTAAAGATGCACTTCCCTATTATTCTGATTGACCATCCACGTTTCCATTTTGAGAGGCTTGTTTTAATTTAGCATGAAGATTCAATGAACTTGGACACTCTTTTCATAACGGTTGCATGGTTTTTGGAACATTCTTACAAAGTAGGAGAAATTGTAGAACCACATTACCACCTTTCTCCATTCCTCGGTCAACCAATCTTGAAATATCTCGGTAGTTACCATGTGGCAGTCGTATGCCACATAGATTCAAATTGATTTCGTGCCACATGGCATTTCCAAATGGCTCCCTTTTCAAAACCCTAATTGTAATATGGTAATGCATGTAAAGTACCAAATTTCTCTTTTCTAGTCCTCACATAATTAGCATAATATGGCAAGTCCCATAAAACTAACCACGTGTTATTCTTTTATTGGTTTATACACCATAGTTTCCTTTGATCGAATTTTACCAATTCCACATGGCAGCGGCTGAGTAGTTACATGCGTCATGACTTGAATTACCAAGTGAGATTGTGTGTATAGTAATGTCCCCGTGCAATTTCTTTCGTTCGAGGTTGTTGGAATATTGATCCGGTGTGGCAAGTTCCACTAGAACTCACCATATGTTTGCTTTCTGAATTTGAGTTCATTAATGCTTTGCTCAAAATTAATCTCATCCTCGTCATCTCGGATGACCTTTTGGAGTTATCTCCAAATGTGAATTTCCTCCATTGTGTGGCTTTAGTGAGAGAAATTTGGATTTATCTCACGTGATATGGCTTGAGCAACCACTATCCAGAAATCACTTGCCGCTTGAAGATGATGACCACAGACTTACCTGTAAAATAGATCTCAAGTGACTTGTTTTTGTACCCATTTAAGTTTGGGTCCATCTTGGTTAGATGTACGTATTCCTTTAACCATCCAAATTTAGCTATTTTTTTTATTAACACTTTTAGTTGATCCTCAAGTAAATAATGAATGATGAAGTAAAAATTGGAGTCGAAAAAACAGAGAACAAATAGAACTAGGACAAGAACCCAGACAGTCAAAGTCAAAGTCAAAGTCAAACCCAATGGAGAATGCTGGTTCAGGGGTCCACTCTTTCCATCACCACGCGACCCGGTTCTCTCGCTCTCTCCAGACTGTAGTTCACCGTCCGACTACAATATTGTTTCTGTTCCCAGTTTCCCAATCACCTCCAACTCTAACTCTGACCAGACCACAACACAGCACAACACCCTCTCTCTGTTTTGGCCTATAAATGAACCTTCCATTCCAACTGTTCTCTCTCATCCTCTTCCTTCACACTTTCCCAACACCACCAGAGATAGAGATAGAGATAAAGCTAGAGCGAGAGAAAGAGAAGAGTTACCCACGTACATTTGCAATTGCAATTTCAGAGGGGTAGAGAGAGAAAACGATGATGATTCTGGGGATGAATTTCTTTGTCTCTCTGTTAGGCTTTATTCTTCTCCATATTTTGCGAGACAGGAGCAAGAGAAATCGCCAAAAGAAAGCTACTAGTAGTACTGCGTTTGAGATCCGGGGCAACAATAGAGAATTCTGCCCGGACAAATCTGACGTCATCATTGTCGGAGCTGGGGTTGCCGGTGCCGCACTCGCTCACACCCTCGGAAAGGTGAGATTAATATCTACCTTTTCCAACTGTTTGTTTGCTCGGAAAATAGTTGGATGGAGTAAATTTTCTTAATTAGTATACAAGTTGTATATATAGAACAATTTTTTGAGATGACATAGACTGGTTTATGTAGTACTTCTCTATATATGTAAAAGCCCTTCAATTCAATTTACTACTACATTCTTGTAAAAAAAAATTTTGCTACTTGTTGCACTCAGGACGGACGACAAGTTCATGTGATTGAGAGAGATTTGACAGAGCCTGACAGAATTGTTGGTGAACTGCTACAACCAGGTGGATACTTGAAGCTCATTGAATTGGGCCTTGAAGGCATTCATGCATTTAAGAGTTTATTACAGCCTAGCTAGCTCCTATTAAACTTAATTGGCAATTGGTCCTGCCTTGCCTGCTCTTCTTTATCTAGAGACATTATTGATTTGGCTGTGAAATATATCTAAAACACAAGCATCCACTTGAACTACAGATTGTGTGGAGGAAATTGATGCCCAGCCAGTATTTGGATATGCTCTTTTTAAAGATGGCAGAAGTACTAAACTGTCATATCCCCTCGACAAATTTCATTCTGATGTGGCTGGGAGAAGCTTCCACAACGGGCACTTCATACAGAGAATGAGGGAAAAAGCTGCTACACTTCCCAAGTAAGTGTAATTTTTTTCTTTTCCTTTGGACATTTCTTTTCTCAGTGAGTTTCCCCTAATTATAATTTTATGATGTTACTTGTTTTTGGTTCCATTTTCCCTTTTTGACATGGAATTTTCTATTTAGCGTACGTCTTGAGCAAGGAATAGTGACATCCCTGATGGAAGAAAACGGAGCAGTGAATATGGCGCTTAAAATTTCATTTCCCTATCTCATTTTTATCTTTTACCTTGGATTAATTGAATATGGCGCTTGTATCAGATACCACCTGAGGTGCATGATGCTTTTATAGCTGCAATTGATAAAGGAAATATTAAAACAATGCCGAATAGAAGTATGCCGGCTGCTCCCCTTCCTACCCCTGGAGCCCTTTTAATGGGTGATGCTTTCAACATGAGTCATCCTTTAACTGGTGGAGGAATGACTGTCGCACTTTCTGATATTGTTGTATTGCGAAATCTTCTTAAGCCGTTACATGACCTGAGTGATGCAGATTCTCTATGCACATATCTTGAATCATTTTACACCTTGCGCATGGTAAGCTAAGTTCATATTCTGGTGGTGTTATTCTAACATGAAAACACTAAAAGTTCGAAAGCAAAACTAATTAAGTGAAGGAGAATGCAATAGTCATAATATATAGACATTATAAAACTTCAACATTCGATTTTTTCAAGTGGTTTTGGGTAGAGGGTTGATATTAATGCTCCAATAGATTCTGATCTCCATTTCTTGTTCCCATATATATTAAGAACTGGAGTAACTGAGGCTTTTCCTAGAGTGCCAATTTTATTTCTCATTTATTTCTTTAACTGCCCAAAAAAATTATTCAAATGAAAAACATTGTGTATCAGAGACTTTTTTTTTGCACTCTTTATCAACATGGTAAGTAATTCTTTTTTGACCTGACAAGGAGAGTTAGTAGTTAGTAGGGTTAGGGAAAGGGGATTCGAACCTAGGATTATAAGGTGGGGGGCACTTAAGGCCTGATCCTTTATCATTCGAACAACCCCGCCACACCTAACATGGTATCTAATTATTATGTTTTGCTTTTTCGCAGCCAGTGGCATCCACAATAAATACTTTGGCAGGAGCCCTATACAAAGTGTTCTATGCATCCTCTGATCAAGCAAGTAAGGAAATGCGCCAAGCATGTTTTGACTATCTGAGCCTTGGAGGTGTTTGTTCGACTGGACCTGTGGCTCTGCTCTCTGGTCTAAACCCTCGCCCGCTAAGCTTAGTTCTCCATTTCTTTTTTGTGGCTTTATATGGTGTTGGTCGTCTGTTGCTACCTTTTCCTTCACCTAAAAGCATGTATATTGGAGCCAGATTGATTTTGGTAGGTAGCTGTGCTCTTCCTTATGGTTTATGAAATACAGAACATGCTGTCTTCTCTTACGTACTATGCCTTAATTTCACCTTTGTTATGATCCATATAGACTACAGTTAATTTTTGAGCATTGATACTGAAGATGCATTAACTGAAAGATCAATTTTTATTTGTTGATTGAATTATATATAGAGAATTCATGAGCAACTTTGTGTTTTCAGGGTGCATCGGGTATCATTTTTCCCATCATAGAGGCTGAAGGTGTTAGACAAGTGTTCTTCCCTGCAACCATTCCAGCATATTATAGAGCTCCTCCTCTATAATAAATATCAAGCTGACTTATGCTTGAAGCTTTTATCTTAACTACCTTCCACAGCTGATAGCGGCGGAGATATATTTGTATTCTTATTTCTTCCATTGTAGAGGAATGCTGGGAAATTTTTTGAATTTTTGTGACAACTAGAAACTGAAAATCAGATGTATCAATGTAAAGTTCTCTTAGAAATGTAAAAAGTATTTCTTCCAACTTGACGTTCATTGTGCTATATACATTACTAATGGGCATGTTCTTACTTCGTACCAATGCCTGAATGAAAATTGTTCATAGTATCGTAGTCTTCATACTATTGTTCATAGTTTTAAAGATGTGAAATGTACCAAGTGCTCTAGTTGAAACAGAAAGAGTGAATTTTAGCAATCAACTTGTTGCCGATGTCTTTCGTTATGTGCCATAAATTATTTGAGGAGAGTGATCTTGAAAACCAATAAAAATTACAAAATTAAACCCCCATAACAAGGTAAAGTATACTATTGTATTATAAGAAGCATTGTGAGAGTTGTTTCAGAAGGGAAAAAGCCCAATATTGCATCCAAGAGGAACTTAAATCTGGTCTGATATAGGAAGATACAAACAAAGTCACTTTCATCAAATATCTGAGTTTTTGAATCAACTAAGTCAAATAAAAATAAAGTTTCTGATTTGATATGAAAATTGTGCCTTATGTGAGGATAATACTCAAGTTTGGCCGGAGAGAAGTTGATTATATCATCTATGTTGTGCCTTGACATTTTACAGTAGATTTGTTATTAGTACTACAACTTCATAGATGAGTAGAACTTCTAGTGCTATCACTAAAAAGTAAGAACTGTTAGGGAATTTGCACAAATAGTATGAAAACACTAGGAACAACTATACATTCAATGAATAGTACATCAATGAATAATATATTCATGTTAAATCACATGGTTTATCTAGAGGTTTGCGAAGTTCTATTCGTTCTGAAAATAAAAGGAAATTTCGCGCATAGGACATGGAAGGAAAGTTGGATTAAAAAAGAATCAAACAGAACAATGTCAAGACTCTTGAAATCGGTTCCTAAAGGACATAATGGAGTTCTCTTGAATCTTAGCTTCTGGAACCGGTTCCCAAATCCAGATAAAGGTTCCTACTTGACATAATCCAATTTGAACTTGGATTTTCTGTTTTTGGAAACCCTGGAAATATACCTTATAGGTATTTGTATCCTAAGTGGGAAACGATGTCCTAATGTTTTGTTCTTTCCTTTTCGATGATAAACAGTACTTTCCCCTTTTAAACAACCTTCGACTCTATAGAATATTCAATCAATTTTAATCCTCAGGAAATAATCACAATACGAATTTTAACTTACAAATTTTAATGAAATATTTAGAAATTAATCTAGCAAGTTCAAGTGTATGTGTACAATCCATCTCATCAATTTTCAATCAACTATCAATAAATCATTGTCCAAACCATATTGATCGAAAAACATCAAGATAAAATTGTCTTTGAATAATTTTTCTAAGTAAGGTGGATTTCACTCTAAAGAGCATAATGCAATTCCCTAATTCAACTTGTCTCTACTTTTCTTTTTACTCATTTAGCTCCACTTCAAAGTCTAATGGAAGCTTTCGAACACATCTCAATAGGTAGCCTTTTCCAAAATAAAGAATTCAGCATTTTTCAAAATTTTCTTTTCTTTTTATGCTGAATATATCATTTTTTTTAAGCTCCTATATTTTTTTTAAAACAATAATCTTTATACCTTTGATGATCAATATACCCTAGTCAACAATTCAAAGATTTTTAATCAAAATTTTCTAATTTGGACTACTGCACAAAAGGTTATGAACTTAAGAGATTCAAATCTAAAAATCCCTTAATCAATGCAAATCAACTTTCATTGTATAGATTACAAACCAAGAATCTATTTTTAATCAAAAATCATGTGTCACAATTTGCATTCAAAGATAAATCATAAATTTAATGGAATAATTTTCTTAAAATATTTAATGAAGACTATTTTGAGAAACTCAAACCTAAACCAAACCCTAGCAAGTGATCCAATGGCAACAAAATTTTCTTTTAAACACAAGCATGATCACTGAATTTCATAGGACTCAGTTTGAAGGTGAAGTCTTTTTGTTAATGTGACAACCCGGATTTTTAGAGCTTGATTTTTTTATTTTTAAGGATTGTAGAAATTGATTACAGTGGAAGAGTAACCAGTTCTGTTTCACTTTCTGTGTGTCAGTGAGTTTGGTGATTTTTATTTGGTTAATGTTTTATTCATGCTACTGATACATTTTAGTGATAATTGATATGTTAATAAGGCCAAAGGCAAGTCATTAATGATAGGTACGAATCCTAGTTGGGTGATGGGTGTAATTGATCCGATGGAAGAGATGAGATGTCAGCTGAATTGGGAAGATAAGATAGAGATGAGAATGGGCAGGTGGCGAAATTAAAGAGAAAAGAAGAAATAGAAAAGAAAGAAGAGATTAGAAAGGTGTTTTGGTGGGTCCCACTATGATATTGTGTTGCCAAAGTTCATTGGATTTGGATTGTTCACGTGGCTGATTGAGTGTTGTTTGTTAGATAATGATGAAAAAAGAAAAAGAAAAAGAATGAAATGACAAGGAGGAACAGGTCGACTGAATGAGGAAAAGTAAGAAAGCTTGGGTGGCGGGGCCCACATTAGATATTTGATATTTGGTAGTTAGCTGTGTGTGATGATGTGTCAGTACAAATTTCCTTTATAAATTTGTATTAGCTTTGTGACCTTGGAATGTTGTAGAGATATAAAAATTAGAGGTGGGACATAGTGAGATGAGAGTTGCAGAGAGAAGCTGAGAGTTGCAGAGGAGTTCGGGAGCTTGAGGACTAGGTGATCCAGTGAGCAAATTTTTTTTCAGTGTAGGGTTCTCTATACCTTGAATGGCATGGGGTGGTTTTGCTTCAATGATTTTTATTAAATGCTTTAATTAAATGCATATGTATTTTGTTTATATACACACATGAATATGTATATTTTGTGAAGCTATTTTATTAAACCTCCATGAAATTCTTGTTATGGTTTTCCTACTGGGACATTCTGCCTCACCACCCTCTAGTTTTAGGTACCAAAGATGAACATAGATTGCTAGTTTTGGGCTTAGGTGGAAGAGTCGGAGTTGTAGGATTTTATTTATTTATTTGGAGAATTTTTGTGTATATTTGAGGAAATTGATTTTGCATAAAAGCGGACATCTTTTTTTTTTTTTAATGATCTTGGGTGTATTTTGATGCATATGGATTTGTATAAATTGAGGGTTTTATTAAAAAAATTCGAGTTGTGACAGGAAACTTGTTCCATGGACTCAAAGGCACATAATTGATCAAATCTGATTTTTTGATCCAAACAGTTCTCACTCTCATTTCCTGAAATTCTCTTTTTTTTCTTTACCTCTTTCTTAAGCAAATTTTTAGCTCTAGAAATTTTAGGTGTCACAACATTCTTTTTCCTCCTAGAACGCACCTTTTTCTTAGCATGAGAATTTTGATAATGAATTTTAGAAAACTTTTTCTTTTTCCTATGAAGGTATGAGTTATTCTTATATCCATTCTTTCCACAAAAAGTGTAATGCAACAATTTAGGCACATAAGACATATCAGAATGTGATGAATTAAGCAAACATGGTTTAGGTGTAACAGCAGTGTAATGACCCGAACCCATGGGTCGGAACCGTTAACCGGGTCCTTACCCAAACCTAAGGTCAACTAGGGGTACAATCGTTATTTCCTACATTAATGGGTCATATTCAATTCATCACTAGGTTCAAGGTGCTCCAGAATTATGGCTTAGAAAGAGAGGATCATAGTACTGGCCAAAGGGGAAGTGTCAACCGGCTGATGGCCCTTGGTCGGCCAGCTGAAACTGTATGGTCGGCTGACTGACTGAGGTAGTTGGTCGGCCGAAATGACTCTCAAAGTTGTAAACTCTTGAGACGTTGCTGTAGTTGCTCCTCAGCCGACTAAAAATGGGGTTTGGCCGGCTGCTGAAGAAGGGTCGGTCAGCTGATAGTGAGGTTTAGCCGGCCGAAAAAAGGTTTCCTGGGATTCAACTCTCTAGAATGCCAAAAAGTGCATTGTCAGCCGGCTGATGATCCTTGTCAGCCGGCCGACAGGCCCTGGGAAGCTAATATCTACAGCAAACAACACCAAAATGACTAGGCTCATTGTGAGCTAACCTGCACAAGACTTGCTACGTAGCCAAATCCCAATTTCACGATGATAGAACAGGACATAATACAGTTAAGAGGCATCTTTAATTGGTCAAAATATAACTTTGTTTCCCATTTGTCATGAAATACTTACATAGTCCCACTTTACTTTAAAATACTATCAAGTGTCATAGTTACAATACATGGCCATGGTTTACAAAATGAATACACTTTACTAAGGTTTGAAACTTTACAAAAGAATGGGTCCAAACACACAAAAACCACAAAATGGATTTCTAGTCCTCCTTAAGCTTGTGAAGGGTTGACGTCCACTACTTCCTTTCCTAGTCTTGAAAATTGTTAAATGTAATGGGGTACGCAAATTGCTCAGTCGGTGGTGCCTAAGACACACCTCTTGTGACCCCGTGAATTCAAACAATGAATATAAATGTAGAAAATGGGATTAGGCTTTACCAGGGAAGTACAACATCAATATCATGTCCAAATGAGTAAAATGGTGCTATGAAATGCAATACTGTGCTATGTCGCTCCTTATTTTCAAAATCATCTATCACCAAGTTTTTTTGGGTTTAAGCCGCGGTCCACCAAAAGTTTGAAAAGATGTTGCGCTAAAAGTGTGAGTGTGTAATGTGGCCAAGTTTTAAATTTATAAGAGGCACTACTACCTCTAACTAAAAATATAGCTAGGGTGAGTAGGGATCGTCCCGAGGGATTGTAGGTACCGTTGCAATGGAAACAATATATAGGGTTAGCAGGTCGAGTGATCAAAGATTGGTTGGATTGATTGATTAAGCTATTATGCAAATGAAATTAAAGTAAACAAAATTCAATGATTAATAAAGTAGAGAAAGATATAGAGGGGAGGACTTGGGGTACTAGAGCTCACCACTAAGCTTGACTTCACTAGATACTAGCAATTGTATATTAATGGAGAAATTGACTTGTAACTTATGTTTGCGTGTGACATTAATTGAAACTAGACATAGATGGCAAATAAGCAAAGATTGTCAAGCCAAATCAAATAGCAGGCACAACCTATCAAATGAGACCAAAATCCACTCAATGAAACCACAATTTATGCACACACAACTATCTAGAAACATATTCCTAATGCATTTATAAGTATGGAACACCAAGGAACAAGAGTAGATTGTCCATCTATCTATAAATTTAAAGCAACTACACTACATCTACACTAAAGATATGAAATTAAACTAAGTAAGCTAAGGGTGTGGTACAATCCATCAAGAAACAAGTGTGAACCATCAAATAAATTGCAAGAGTGTTCAATTAAGCTCTACGTTTTGACCATCTCTAGATTAAGTTCATCCATACACATAGACATGCATAAACTCCACTAAATCTAGAGAAAAGCACATGAATCATCAATTCTAGCATACATAGACATATGGTTAGAAGTAGATAATCAATTGAAAACATTAATCCATATACATCAAGTAAAAACCAGAAGATTTATATATAAGTCTAAGATCAAAACATTGTTACAAATAAATCCCCAAAAATATACAAAGAACTAAGTCTAGGAAGCAAACTTAGGGGCTACTCTAGCCCCAAGTTGATGTCTAGCCACTTATTGAAGTAGTTATCTAACCCTCAAGGGCTATCTCCATGGTAGGAATGACCTCCTTCTTGATGGAACCCTGGAAGAATGGAAGAACTCCCCAAAAATATGTAAAGCTTTCTAATCTCTAGCCTCCTCTCCAAGATAAGAAAAATACAAGTTATGTTGAATGTTACAAGTTATCAATAACAACTATGTTCTAAAAGTGGATCTCAATCCTTATATAGGTAGGTCAAATGTCACCCCAATGGTCCGGGCTCATACACCAAGGTCCCTCAATGATTGAACCATGAGCTAACTTTTAATGAGCTGGAATCTATTTTTTTCCGGACTTGAGGAAGTTCAATCGATCGAACTGTGTTGAGATCGATCGAACTTGGCTGAGATCCATCGAATGCTGCATAGATCGATCATCCTTGGCGGCGCCTTTTTGAATAAAGACAAATCTCTGATATATTTTTGGGAAGAAGACAAAAGTGGTGGTGGGTGGTAGGTGTGGATAAGATCAAATCATTTCGATCGATCTGGAAAATGTTGGATCGATCGAACTTGTTGGATTCTTTTGGATAAGGACAAGGCTTGGATCCATCTTGAATTGTTCAGATCGATGAACTTTCGATCGATCAAAGAAATGCTGAGATCGATCGAACATGCTGAATTTCCACACTTTGCTTCATTTAGCTTCCACTTTGCTCCTTTCTTCCATTCAGCTTGAGTTAACTTCTTTAATGCTCTGATTTGGCTTAATTGACTTATTTTTAGGATAAGCACCCGAAAAGGGCAATAACACGAAATTAGTCTAAAACAGGAAAGTAAGATAGATAAAGGTCCTAGAATACTCAAGCTTAAGGGGTTTAAATGTGCACTTATCAGTGCTCATCATGACATCGCCACTAATGGACCGTCAAACACTATCAACACCAGAACCTCACATACACTACTCCGTAACACCCATGTTAACCAAAACCAATTGGATAAAAGCACCAAACACTGATAACCTACAAATACAAGAAACGATCACACCCATCGGACACCGCGTCCCGTTCTATCAAGAGCCCGTAACTACCAAATGAAAACCTCTATGCTAAACGACGACATTAAATCACCCATTCCACCTTTACCTTTCAAGGTGGCACTCTATCGAATACCGTGCACACAAGACCCATGACCTTAGTTATAGCAACTCACCGACTCATTAAAAGGAAAGGATGCCTATATGCCAACACTGTTCTCGTTGGCTCTAAAGACTAAGCCTTCTACAATCGCCTCAACTAGTGCACAATGCCATCACCTACCTGACAACATACAACAACACTTATAATCAATATTCCATCCTCGGATCATACCTGAAACCATTATGCTTATCAATGCTAAACATCACGTCATAATGCCTTTATTATCACTCATTCGAAACAACAGTTCAAACCTATCACCCCATCAGACCATCAAACCACTACTAAGCGATTCTTCCTCAAACATCCTTAAGACAACATCACCATAACTGATAAGTGCACAAAACTTATTGTTTTATACTTTATAATAAATAATTAATTAATATTTTTTATTAGATAAATGTTCTTATCCTTGTTTTTCATGTTTTATAGGGGGCTGATTTCAGAATAGGAAGAAAAGAAACAAAAATAACAGAAATGTGGGATTATACGATCAATCAAAGTCAAATTAAGAAATTGCCTTATCCATTAAATCAGCAAAGGTCAAGCTAAATTGGAAAATATATCAAGACAGATTGGAAAGTATGTTAAGTCAAAGATCAGACCAAATTGGGAAGCAGCAAGATTTTAGGAAGATTTTATTTTATTTTATTTTCACTTCTGTAATTAGAATTTTCTCCTCCTAATCGTTCCATTCTAAACTCTATAAATAGGGACATATATAGACGAGGTTGAGATACATTGTTAGTGAGATAAAATAATAAAAGTTAGAGAGACTTTTTGTCTTCAATTTATTTCTTATAATTTTTGTTATGAAGATTCTTTTTATTTCTTTATTTTATTTTATTTATTATGCTGGTTTAAACACCCCTTCTCAAGGGAGTGATGAAGCCACCATGGCTGAAATATAAGTAAATTTACTTTAATTCTTTTATGAAATTTTCTATTTAGAGCATTATTTTACTCTTCTATTATGGGTTCTTATTTTGATAAATAAATTAGAAAGAGGATTCTTCGTGTTTGCCAATTAATGGTAATTCGGCGAATGCCTATTTTTATTTACCAAAGATATATCAGATTATGTAAAATATGTTCTCAAGCAATTATTATTTCACGCTATTATTTTCCTTCATCTTTCAAAGTTGTAATTGGACTGGTGGAGTGATTTTCTTATAATAGGAAAATTTATATACAAAGAAATAAACTAATTTATTTATTGTAAGCTGTGGTGGTGGATTCTTTCTTTGAGATTTTTCTTATTATTTGATTAGAATTTATTTTGTCTTATTTATTTATTTTATTTTTAGTTTATTAGTAATAGATCAATAAATTGTTTTAAAAGTTATTCTTCCTTAAATTTTGGTTTTAATTTTGATTCACGAGTTTAAATCTTGTATGGTTCGACCCTGCTTATTCTATACCATCTTTAATTTAGTTTTTGCAGGTTTTCCTTATTTTTGCACGAAGTGTAGAAAAACAACGATAGAATCCATAATTCAACACTCGTCAAATGGCGTCATTGTCTGTGTGTTTATGCCCAAGTGGTTGCAGGTTAACAAACGTTTAATCTGTTATTCTAGTGATCTTTCACTCTTTGAGTTAGAGAAACCCCTCCTACTGTTTTCAACCACCCATTAATTTCCAATGGCTGAATCTAAGACTTTGAATGATTACTTTACACCCATCACAGCCAACCCACCCAATTGCATAGTTCTCCCTACAGCTGAAGCACCCCAGTTTGAGATTAGACTTGCTATGATCCACCTTTTACCCAAATTTCATGGCTTTGAAAGTGAGCAACCCTATATCCATTTAGTAAAGTTCTTAACTATTTGCAACACTTTCAAAAACCAGCATTTAAATGAAGAGGGTGTCAAATTGCATCTCTTTCCTCTATCCCTAGAAGATAAGGCTACCTCATGGTTGAACTCCATTTCTCCAAATTCTATTCGATCATGGGATGAACTTGCAAAGAAATTCATGAACAAATTTTACCCCTTGCAAAAGACAAAGTCAATGAGAGATTCCATAAGCAATTTTAGAGGGAAAAATGAGGAACAATTTCACCAAACTTGGGAGCATTTTCATGATTTAATTCTTAAATGCCCACACCATGGCTTTGATAAAGCCCAGCTAGTTCAATTTTTCTATAAGGGGCTTTCACCTATGAACTGAACCATGATCAAGTCTATGCACCAAGGTAAATTCAAGGCCCAATGACCAAGCCTACACATTCTTAGAAGAACTAGCTGAGAATGCCCAAAATTGGAATTCGAATACTGATGAATTTTCTAGGAATGACCAAACCAATAAAACATCTTCTTGGTATGAGATCAAACCTGAAAATGAATTAAAATCTGTGATGCACAATTTAACTGAAGGAGTAAAAGACTTGACCAAAAAATTCGATGCTTTTGCACTCATGTCCACAATGTGCAATGCAATGTGTGTTCTAGTTCATCTCATCCTACTGAAGCATGTCCTATCTATTCTACCTCTGAACCTTCAGATGCTCAAGTGTGTGCCTTTAATACCTATAGGAGACCGACGACTAATACCTTTAGCCAAACTTACCATCCTGATACTAGAAACCATCCTAATTTTTCTTGGTGACAAAATTTGCCTGCCCAAAACTTAGGTGGTCAACCCAGTTTCCAAGGTAATTCCAATAGGCAACCTCAATCTCAAGGTTTGCTCTTTCCGTAAAGTCATTTCCCACCGAACACTAATTGAGTAACAATCGTGATCTCGCACTTGATCTCATGAGCAATTATGTTCCTTCTGTCCCACAGAACCAACATGTTTTCAACTATGAGGACATTCTGAAGATGCTTGCCCTTAATCTTGACCAATCAAATAAGGAATCTAATCAGAGAATTCAAAAGCTAGAAAGTCACTTTGACCTTTTGACTTAGAATAGACTATAATTCCAACAGTCCATGCAAAATCAGTTGAGTCAACTCACTTTAGTTTTGTCTGAACGATAAAGAGGTACCTTGCCTAGCCAACCTGAAATCAACCCTCAAGCCAAAGGGGTTCATCACATTGAAACTTCCTCTTCCACTGACCAATCCAATGGCCATGTAAATTCCATCATCACGCTTAGGTCAGGGAAACAAATTGATAATAAGGTTGAGCTACCCACCCAACATGAACCTGAACCATCAGAGTCTCATCCATCAAACCCTCTAAAAGCCAAAAAGGACCAAGATTCTCAAATTGATAATCTTACTCTTCCGTCATATGTTCCAGATGCACATTTCCCTTCCTGACTGGTTAACAATAAAAAGGATTCGCACTAAAGTGAGATCTCAGAAATTTTTCAAAATCTTCAGATTAATATTCCATTTCTCACTACCATTAAGCAAATTCCTTCTTATTCAAAGTTCATCAAAGACTTAGTCAAGAGGAAAACCAACATCCCGAAGGAAGCCTTCATAGCCCAACATTGTTCCTCATTCCTACATAACCAAGCTGTGGTCAAACATAAAGACCCTGGTAGTCCGACTATCACTTGTAAGATTGGCAAAAATTTAGACCAGGCCCTATTGGATTTAGGTTCTAGTGTGAACTTGTACCTTTTTCTGTGTACTAAGAGTTGGGATTAAATAATCTGAGGAAAACCGATGTTAGAATCCAATTAGCTGATCGATCAGTTAAGATTCCAAGGGGTATCATTGAGGATGTGATTGTCAAAGTGGCAAATTTTTATTATCCAGTTGACTTCATTGTTCTAGACACCCAACCTACTTAAGGTAAACAAATTCCCATCATTTTAGGTCGACTATTCTTATCTGCTGCCAATGAATTGATCAATTGTATAAATGGGAATATAACTTTAACCTTAGGAAATATGAAAGTGGAAGAGAATTTGTTTAGTTTGATGAAACAACCCCCCGAATCGGATTCTATTGAAGAAGTTTGTCTCATTGAGTCATTGAT